AGAGAGATTTATACTCATTGTAAATGTGGTAAGGGATGGAGTTCCAAAATTTTATTTTATCTTTCAAGTTAGTGGCTCAGGAGGGTGAAGCTTGGTCTTTTTTAAAGGCGATGTTACCCATTTCCTGCTTGCCCCACGTGCACCGGAGTTTGGGGCCCTGTGAACTCAGACTGGCAGAGGATCAGTCAAGATCAGAGAGCACATGAGGGATGCAGTTAAAGGAAAACTTTGACACAGCAAGTTTGCCCTTTGTACCCAATGGTTGCCATCTTATCCTTGATTTCTACAAGCAATTACTATGAACATTGGGATTTAACTTAGGTGCACATCTTGTACCAGTGATAAAAAGCTGAATGCTAAACCCCAGCCCCCACCACCCACTGCCCCATCTGACCTCGTAAGGATTTTATTTTATGTAGATCATTTTGTCTTTGAAATATTTACAGAACTCCAGGGGGGAGATTTCCCCTTTCTGTGCAGGGGGAGAGGGTTGGGGAGACCATTTGGTCTCTACCTGTACCCGCATCATTATCCTATTTATAGATTCCACATTTGGAGTTTGCATTCTAGCACCCGATACTTTTCACTGATGAAGAAAGTAGCCACAGCAACTAAAAAATAGTAGCTATCATTCACAGAGTACCTTCTGTGTGCCAGGCACTTTCTATAAATTGACTCAGGTCCTCTCTGCAAACTTGCTTGGTGTATGCATCACCCCATTTTACAGTGAAAGGAACTGAGACCCAGAGGAGTTAAATAACTTGCCCAAGGTCACTGAGCCCAGGTCCCCATGAGGGACTCCTGTTCTTCCTCTCACAGGCACCAAACCTCTGCTGGAGCCAGTGACGAGCAGCGGAGGGTGGTTCTCACTGAGTGGGTGTGTTGACTTTCCTCTGCCGGATATAATGTTTGGGACACTTGGCCACCTTAGAGATTCCCTTGATCTTCAGACACCAATTTCCAAACAGGAAAGAGGCTGAAGCCTACCGGTGAGACAGCTGTGCTCATCTTAGCAAGCTGGACGCTCATTGAGGTCTGCCCAGGTGCTGACTCTTTTACATTTAG